ACCCCAAAGTTAAACTGAGGATTTACTAAGAGTTGTATTCATCCTATTCCGTTTAAGGTGATAAAGGAAAGGTAGTTGAATGGAACTGACGTTTCCATTGAACTTGACATAGCCTTGCTTTTCCAAGAGGTGTTCTCATCCAGGGTGGATTGCAGTTTCGACTTCGCCTAGGTCTTATTAACACCACCAGCGGGAGTCGAACCATGACAATTCAGCTTGTGTAATCTCTACACGTTAACAACTACGCGACATTGCCATGAGTGTCCTTAGGTCACAGGAAAGATTTGAATTTCAAGAAAGGTCAAAAATTTTCCCATATCACATACCAAAGAATTTACGTTGGAATTATCGATGAGGCAAAATTATATTTGATGTGGCGATCGTCTACGTTACTTATTTTTCGTTTGTAAATTGGATTTTGAGACTTACAGTAAATCATTTATAAGAGATTTGTCACTCCATTTAGTTTAAAGTGAAGAAGGTCTGGTAGTTGAAAATTTACTAGTTCCATAATCATATTTATTTCTGTTTCTTTTTCAGTGCCATTAAAAGTAATTTCCTTAATCTTATTTAGTGAAAGTATAAAGCAACTATCTGACCAAAGAGGAAATGAAGTAATAATTGATTTACTTTATTTATTTAGCATTCTTGTTTAAAAACCCTTAGTTTACTCTAACGTGTTCACATATATGTTATTACACTTAGAAACTCTATTTTACCATTATAGTATGAGATTATCGTAGCATCAAATCTAGGTTTTCTAAAATTTGAATTCGACTTAATATGAGGAAATTAGATTAACGTTATATGAGTCTGGTAGTCTCAAAACGCTACTCGGAAACGAAAATAAATTAACCTCGTTTGCATGCGTATTTACACATATCTACTCTAAATAAGGTAAAGCTAAAAAATAATGCTTAACTCAAAACATCATATTTCTGGTTTTAGTTTCTGCTCATTTATTTTCCTTATCTTGTATTGTTATCTAATTTGAATGATAAAACGAGCTACATAACAGTTAGGCTGCAACTTGATGGTTTTTGAAGAGGAACAATGTTTAATTGGACCGATTTACTCTAGATACTTTCTACCATATTAGCTGCCGAGCACTACATTATCAAAAGTCCAATGGATATTAAGCTTAAAGCCCAAAAAATTAATCTTCTCTCATAAACGAGTTGTATGCCTATACTTTGTGCTGTCGTATGCCAACTCAATCATAGAAGCAAGATTTTCTCAAACCCTTTATTTTTTAAGATCCTACTGGCAATTTTAATTTGATCTTTAAATGCACATTGTAGTATATTATTTATTGCCATCTTATTTTCCCCTCTTCTATTTTTAGTTGCACTTTCTGAAATACGCGAAGTAAAATTAGGCTGTTCTCCTCGCAATATTCGTGCTCTATCACGCGCATGCCGTGGTTCTACAATGGGACCTGCTGGCGCTTTTTCATCTCCTACCAGCTCCCCACTTCCACTGTTGGCCTCAACGGCTGCTGCCTCTGCTTCAGCAGCTAACCCCTTTTCGTCCTCTGCTTTTTTAGCGGGTGGATCTCAAACTGTCAATAACTGGTTTCCAGGCTCTAATTCAAGCAGAATGACTCGAGCCCGTTCCGAACTCTTTGCTTTTCCAAACACATCCGTGCCTAATTCTCATCTTGCTTCTTCATCTCTTTTATCCTCCCCATCTGCTGGTAGCAGCTCTTTTGGCTTGACACCCTGTGGAAATTCCTCTACTTCAGCAATGGGAAGCCTTGCTGGTAGTGTAATGCAACTGTCTTTACAGGCTACCTGTTTTAGTATCTTGTACGGTCCGCAGTGTGACTTGCTCGAAGTGATGGCCAGTTCACCAGATGAAGCCAATATTTGGATAGCCGGAATTACCTGTTTGATTACTGGCAAGCGATGTAAGCTTGGTGAAATAATTATTCATTTTTTATTTGGTTAAACTATTTTTAACAATTTATTTATCTCTTTGTAATAGCAGGTTACGGCAAGCATATCTAGTTTTGTTTGGATAATTTTGACAGGCACCAATTTAGCTAAAAGTTCAAGGTAATAATGAAATAAAAATAATCCTTTACTCTTTAAGCCTTACTAACAAGTGATCGTCCGTAAAGAATTTTTTAACGTCTAACATCACTTTGCCAACTAGGTTCATGATAAAATGGCGTGAATCCTCTTGGTTGCAAAGATGAGGTCCCTAACTCCTCTTTTAACTTGCCCCTGTATACGCTTGTTGAAAAAGATGAGTGTGGGACCCCATAGAAAGTCCAAATATCTGTTCATAGATGTCGTTGAATGTGAAATAGGTTGTTCTTATTTTTAACTTAAATAGCCCTGCTATAAACTCCTTTCTGATCTTCCCGTCTTTAAGGATATCCCGTTCTCGACCCAAGATTTGCATCAGGGCTGTAGTTCATTTTGCCCAGAGATGTTTGCATACATATATTATATATAAATACTTACCAATAATTCTGTTCCCTCTAGTCCTGTGTTTTTGATCCATTGAGAAAATTCATATGAACTACGTCATGTGTTTAATACCATACTGATAAACTCTTTCAGTCTCCAGCATATAAACTTCGCCTGTTTATGCGTTGCTCCATACATTTTATTGACTTTCAGTGTTAGCGGTTCCTATTCATATTGTGTACTAGGAAATATGTAGGCTGTCGATAGACATACATCCCCTCCTATTGTTGAATTTATTGTCCATCTGTTGATTTCTCCTTTCGTAAGCATTTTTTCAGGCAAGTCAGTTAGTATTTCATTGAGTTTCTTCGTTTTGTTTAGCTTTAGTACACAATATATGGCTTGTCTTCTAGCATACGTTCTATCTTCTCATTATATTGTTTCCTCACCATTATCGCTTCCACTCCCTCATTATGTGCCTAGAGAAGTTATTGATCATTCCTATATATAGTACTGCGTGTTCTTGTTCATAATCTCTTATTTCTGATCTTAAATGATATTCTTTTAAATATAATAAGTTTTCTATAATTTCTGAATAGAGGTATTGTAAAAAATTCAATTAGCTGTTTCCAAATGGTTGCGCCTCGTGAGGTTACAGAATCCGAAAATGGTACCACAACTTTTGTATATTTGATTTACAGCTATCTTATTTTTCCAGCTCTATCATGGCCATTGCCTGGCTATCTTGATTCAGGAGTTTCTTTCTGCTGTATAGAAGTGGACTTCGTTTCCGTAACTTGGTTGTGTTGCCAAGGCGAGTTGTATTAACAAATTTTGTCCGAAGTCCTCTAGTATAGCAGTCATGATAATAACCAGCATCAGACCGTGGACTTAGACATGCGAAATGATTTAATATTGAATAAATCTAGATTAAAAAATATATATTAACAAAAATGCTTTACCCTTAGATTCTTCTAAGTATACTCTAAAAAATTGTTGCTGTTCTTGTGTACAACACAAAATAAAATGAAAACAAAGGTGAACAGTATGCGAAAAAACTGGGTATCGAGAAATCCCTTAATAGATTGCTTTTACTGTTTGAAGAGGTGAGTGTAAAGTATTGGCAAGTAAGCCTCACCGGAAATGAAAGGTATTCTGACAAAAACGAACAGTATATTTATTTTAAGGATACTTTATATTCAAGCAAATTATGAAAAGGTTTAATTACGTTTAGGTATTAATGAAAAAGATTTATTTATATTTGCAAATAATCAAATGCAAAATTTAAGGATTTATCAAAGTACGAATAACAATTTTAATGATATTTTATAACCTCTTTATATCTTTAGCTCCCAGAATTATCGAAGAGAGGCAGAGATTACGAGATGTGTAAGTTATATTGCTGATTTAAAGTGATGGGCCATAAAAGATTTTATCCAGTAAATGCTAATAACTATTTAACAGGATCAACAGCTATTAAAAATATTTTTTTATTCCTTATTAAACATATCAGTAAAGAAAAGCCTTTACTGCTCTTTAGATTTTCGCTAACTCATTTAATACCCCTACTTTGTACTTTATTTGTTAGCCAATCTCATCATATTGTTTGTAATTTCCATTCTTCGACCATATAGTTGAACTAGCTCTTGCTTTTATTATTTCCATAAAGTACCCTTATAAAAATGAAAATCTTGTTAACTATAGCTACATAAAATGATTCATATGTGAATAAAGCATTCAACCTAGTAATAAAAATAGGTGTTAAGCTCTTCATT